GTGATAAAAAATAAATTATCACACCAACAGTCAACAACAGAGGGAGAGGGACGCTTCAGAAGTTCCCCCTGTCCCATTTGGAGGGTTTTTTAGCATATTGCGCAATCGCGTCCGCCATTAACGAATCGATTCGTAATTTTCCGAAATTTCATATATTTCGAACTTTTTTAAAGGAAAATTTCGGAATTCTTTAAAAAAACGAAACGCAAGGGCCCCCTAAAAACGAAACGAGTTTAGAACCAAATTTTTCCGTGATTACCCAAGCCTAAGCGACATCTCCAGCTCATCCCTTGTTTGGGTATCAGCCAGCACGTCAACGACTTAAATCAAGAAATAGTTTTCTTAGATCTACAGAGACACTCGCTGGAACACCTCAGCAAGTGAGAGTCCAAAAGTGGCAGGCTCAAACCCAGCACCTCAATCCGTGGGTGATACCAGATGAGAGACTCCCCCCTGGGCACACAGAAGACTGGGCGACTTGGAAGGCGCTGAACAGACTGCGCTCTGGCACCACGAGATGCAGAGCCAACCTTCAGAAATGGGGCTACAAAGTGGAATCCACGACATGCGAGTGTGGAGAAGAGCAAACCACTGACCACCTGCTGCAATGCAACCTGAGCCCTGCCACATGCACGATGGAGGACCTTCTTGCAGCAACACCAGAGGCACTCCAAGTGGCCAGATACTGGTCAAAGGACATTTAATCAGCTACCAAGTTTGCAAAATTTGTGGGTTTTTTGCCTGTATGTTTGTTTTGTCCTGTTAGAAATGTAATACAATGTTCTGGTTGCGGATGACACGATAAATAAATCTACATTATCTGCTTTGAACTGGATTATAAGAGTCTATGTCGCCATATAATCCAGTTTCAAAGCAGAAACTGTATGACAATGTAGAAGGGATCTAAGGCTGGATTGACATTGCCCTCTATCCCAGAATCTGATTCCAGATTATCTGCTTATCCCAAATTATCTGGAAACATACACTCATATAATCCCATTCAAAGCAGATAATCTGGGATCAGATCCCAGGATATAGGGCAGAGTACATCAAGGTGAACACCAGGTCCACTCATGAGAGCTAAATTGATAACATACAGTAGATCTTTAGAGGATGCTGTCTGAACTAGAATATGTTCTTTGGCTTTAAATAATTTCTGAGGGGAAGGGTGAGTCATCATGCTTTTACAAGGGAACCTCAGTGTACACTCCTGAGCAATTGCTTGGATCACAGAGAAAATAGGACTCTATCTTTCATAGATGATGCATCCACTGAGAAAGATTAGAGGGGCTGAAAAATGTAACCCATACCTGTTAAAATGCAAGTTAAGAGCCTCAATACAATCGGGGCACTTCCACGCTGCCCAAAATTTCACACCAAAGTGGATTTTAAAAACTTGCTTTGGCACAGATTTTCCAGGGAGAGTGGCTACGTGACATCTTGATAACAATTGGGATGGCATGCAGCCACCCTGAAGCCCCCCAAAATAATCCCTAAAATAAAGTTAAACTTACCTGGCCACCATTATGTTCCTCCTTGCGCTTTCCTGCTGTGAAGAAATGACGTGCCAGGAGACTGTAAGGGGGATGGAGGAAAATCCTTCCACCTCCTGGCAAATCAGGAACATATTCTGGCACATCATTTCCTCATGCCAGGAGGGCACGAGGAGGAATGTAATGGCAGCCAGGTAAGTTTAACTTTATTTTTTGGGGTTCTTTTGGGGCTGGAGAGAGTGGTTGGGTGCCATCAGACTTTTGGGCACCAGGAGCCCAAAAGATTTGGGATGGCAAATGAGGACTCATTCTCGGGTAGTCCCAGGATTACCCAGAAGTGATTTCCCACAAGCCCTGTACTTGATTAGACCCAGGCCTTTCAAGAAGGCCCAAATCTAATTGGGTATTTAATTAATTTGAAATAACTGAGGTTATTCCGCATTAATTTCTTTTTACTGGAGACGTCATTTGGATGTCCCCGGGTAAAAACCCAGAGAGGTCCCGCATTTTGGGTCTGTCTAGATGGGCCTCAGGCTATACCTGAATAGTGTATATATATGACTATTCAAAATAAAGCAAGAAAAATATTTCTCTCTGTCATAAGGTCTATTTACCTCTTCAAACATGTGCTGGGAATGATTGAAGTAGTAGAATGGCACCACCAAGTTGAAGAACTGAAAATCTTTGTGTATGAAGCTGCCTGTCAAACATTGGCTCTTCCGATGTGCCTTTGGAGAGTGACCATTTATTCAATTTCTGTTTGTTCCATCTATAGCAGTGTTTCTCAACCTTCCTAACGCCATGACCCCTTAATATAGTTCTTCATTTTGTGGTGACCCCGAACCATAACATTGGTTTCGTTGCTACTTCATAACATTTTACTACTGTTATAAATCATTTTACTACTATTATAAATATGCAGGATGTATTTTCATTCACTGGACCAAACTGGGCACAAATATCCAATACGCCCAAATGTGAATGCTAGTGGGGTTGGGGGAGGATTGATTTTGTAATTTGGGAGTTGTAGTTGTTGGGATTTATAGTTCACCTATAATCAAAGAGCATTCTGAACTCCACCAGCAATGGATCTGAACCAAACTTGGCACAAAGAGCTCCCATGACCAACAGAAAACACTGGAAGGGTTTGGTGGGCATTGACCTTGAGTTTGGGAGTTGTAGTTCACCTATATCCAGAGAGCACTGTAGACTCATGCAATGATGGAGTTGGACCAAACTTGGCACGAATACTCAATATGCCCAAATGTGAACACTGGTGGAGACTGGGAAAAATAGACCTTGACATTTGGGAGTTGTAGTTGCTGAGATTTGTAGTTCACTACAATCAAAGAACATTCTGAACTCCGCCAACTTTAGAATTGGCTCAAACTTCCCACATGGAATCACCATGACCAAGAGAAAATACTGTGTTTTCGGATGGTCTTTAGTGATCCCTCTGACACCCCTCACGACCCCCAAGGGGTCCTGACCCCCAGGTTGAGAAACACTGATCTATATTGTTGCCCCTATGATGCACTTTCCCCCATCCTAAACTGAAAGCCTTACCCCGCTGTTTTATCATTCTTGGACTCCTCTCACTTACATATTTTCTATTCCTACCTCACCCAGGGTTTTATCATTGTATCTCGTCCATTTGGTCTGCCCATCCTGTTCGATTTTATATTGTGTTAATCTGTTTTATTTATTTTATTTTGCTACTGTAAGTATTTTCTGATGTAATTTTTTGTTCTCTGCATTCTGTATTTTATTGTGCTGTATTGTATTTTTGGGCTTGGTCTCATGTTAGCCGTCCCGAGTCCCCATCGGGGAGATGGTGGCGGGGTATTAATAATAATAATAATAATAATAATAATAATTTGAAACACAACAAGGTGAGTCCACAGCAGACACTCTGCTGGCTGTTGTATTGGATCACACATCAGACATTTCCCAAGTGTCTAGGACTGTTTGATGTATCGGCGAATAATGCGTGCAGATCCCAGTAAGGTGGCCTTTTGCAGCTAACAGATGGTAATCTTGTCAGTGCCGATTGTGTTTAAGTGCAGGCCAAGGTTTTTAGGCACTGCATCCAGTGTGCCAATCACCACTGGGAGTCTTTGCAGTTCGATCTTTAAATCTTCATATCATGTCAGCTTTTCCAGTTGTTTCTCTTCAATCTGGCTGTCACCTGGGATTGCAACATCGACAATCCATACTTTAGGTTCTTGTGGGTTTTTTCGGGCTTTGGGCCATGTTCTAGAGGCATTCTCTCCTGACGTTTCGCCTGCATCTGTGGCAAGCATCCTCAGAGGTAGTGAGGTCTGTTGAAATTAGGACAATGGGTTTATATATCTGTGCAATGGCTGGGGTGGGGCAAAGAGCTCTTCTCTGCTGGAGCTAGGTGTGAATGTTTCAACTGACCACCTTCATTAGCATTTGAAAGCCTGGCTGAGCCTGGGAAAATCTTTTGTTGAGAGGTGTGATGAGGAAACACAACATACAAACAATCTACAAACCCACCAAAAAATCCAACAAATGCTACGTTCAGCAAAGGACAAGAGGGATCCTCTCACCTCTGCAGGAGTCTACCGTGTACCATGCAGCTGTGGACAAGTCTACATAGGGACCACCAAACGCAGCGCCCAGACACGCATCAAGGAACATGAAAGGCACTGCAGACTACTTCAACCAGAGAAGTCAGCCATAGCAGAGCACCTGATGAACCAGCCTGGACACAGCATATTATTTGAGAACACAGAAATGCTGGACCACTCCAACAACCACCATGTCAGACTACACAGAGAAGCCATTGAAATCCACAAGCATGTGGACAATTTCAACAGAAAGGAGGAGACCATGAAAATGAACAAAATCTGGCTACCAGTATTAAAAAACTCTAAAATTACAACAGCAAAACAGCAGAGAGGAAACAACCAGGCACATCTTAACACCTCTCAACAAAAGATTTTCCCAGGCTCAGCCAGGCCTTCAAATGCTAATGAAGGTGGTCAGTTGACACATTCACACCCAGCTCCAGCAGAGAAGAGCTCTTTGTCCCACCTCAGCCATTCCACAGATATATATACCCATTGTCCTAATTCCAACAGACCTCACTACCTCTGAGGATGCTTGCCATAGATGCAGGCAAAACGTCAGGAGAGAATGCCTCTAGAACATGGCCCTATAGCCCGAAAAAACCCACAAGAACCTAGTGATTCCAGCCATGAAAGCCTTCGACAATAAATCCATACTTTATTTTTTAACATGATCGTGAGGTCAGGAGTATTATGCTATTATTATAATTATTATAATATTATAACAAGAGTATTATTATTATTATTATTATTATTGTCAATCAGGGATTACATACTTACTCCAACTATAATTATATAATAAACTGACATCAAAAGGGAAGACAAACAACACACTGTGAAGTTATTACTGTGTTTGTTTTTGAGTCATCAAAGAAATAAAGCAAAAAAACAAACAAACAAAGATGTCTCTTACTTTTTAACTTCCTGGACATAATCTGCATTTCGGTCAAAGAGGTGGGCTACAGAATCTTTGATTGCTTCGTGCTTGAAGGAAGAAGCTGTTCCAAAGACAGTAACGTTGGGGATTGTTGAGCAGAGCTGAGCGACAGCTTGTCCCTGCAAAGACATCAAGCAGGTCAAACAAGACAAGGCTACCATCTGGTCTTTAGTTCATTCATCTTTTTTGAACTAACCAGAGAGGACTCAAAGAGAGAAAGTTAGGAAAAGAAAACACCAGGTCCTTGTTCCATCTGATCTGTCTTCAACAATACCACTCATTGTGCTATGGGAATGGTGCTGGCAGGGCCGTAGCCAGAAAAAATATTCGGGGAGGGTTGACAATTTTGGGGGGGGGGGGGGTTGACAATTTTGGGGGGGGTGACAATTTCGGGGGGGGGGGGGTTGAAACCTGCCTCCTAGCTCATGCTGAAGCAAAGAGCACAGCAGGGGGCAGAGCAACCTTCAATAGCCTGCAGCTCCCCCCCTGTCAACCACCTCCACCAAGTCTGGCCTCCTTAATGAGAGCATTCAACACCACCCACCCCAACTTGGTTGCTTCACTACATCGGCTATTGCTGCAAGTAATGACAGTGTGAATAAATTGTCAATATTTGCTTGAGATAGTGCTTACAGTTCTGGAGGGACTCTTAATTTTTGGCATCTCATAGACTTAGCATGGGGATTTGGTTAACCAGTTAAAATTCATGAGTAAACCAGGTTTTTTTAAAAAAAATCTGAAACATTTCTGGGGGGGTTTGAACCCCTAAAACCACCCCCTCGCTACAGGCCTGGGTGCTGGTGAATGTTGCTTATACATATACCATGTATTGCCATAAATGTGGCTTCAACATGATGGTCATAGGGATGAGAGATCTCCACAACAACCTATTATGAAAAGCTGTGCTCAGGTCTTGTAAACGCAGAGTGGTGGCTTCTTTGTGTCCTCCTTTACTGGCTCCTAATAGCCTCTCACTTTAGAGAACATCATTTCTTCTTCTAATGCAGGAGTCCTAAAACTTTTAAAGCAGAGGGCCGGTTCACTGTGCGTCAGACTGTTGCCCGCCCCACGTTTCTCCACTCTTCACCAATCTTGCCCATCCGTCCGACCTGCAGAACCAAATATAATACTCAAGGGTAAGTCACAGATGATCCTGGCGTTATAAAAACCTATTTTCCATCACACCAGCAAGGAGGAGAATCATGGTATTAAGTCTATAAGTCCCACCGGTAGATAAGAGTCCTTGAATGCACGAGAGCGCATCTGTAAGTCTATACATAATGTAACCTAATGGAAACATTTTACAGGGTACGGCGCTTATATGCCGAGTCGAATATAAATACTGCGAGTATACGACTCTAATATACTCGAAGCATAACTAATATACTCGAGACCACTACTGCCGTAGCCGCCTACAAGCCCAAGAGTTCACGCTCCCACGTCATTTCCCCCACCCCTTCTTGTGTGCAGAGCCCTGCTATGATCCCACCGGAGTGTGGACGCGGGAGCAGGGCCCCTTTTCGTCGGTGGGCCCCCTCGTAATCTGGACACACCCTCCCCAAAGGACCTTAGACAGGGCCCCTACATTGCGTCTTCAGGGGCAAAGAACTTGAAGAGACTGGTCTTTTCGATTTGCACCCTTCCCAGATTCAGAATCTCCACTTACGACAAGGTCCCATAAGCATTGATCAGAACAATTGATTGCCTGCACATCGCAAATTGCACCTTGCCCATAGAAGCCCTTCTACACCTCCTGTCACATCAGCACTTTTAATCTGTACCCATTACTCTGGCCCGGCCCACAGTTATATTAATTGTATTGTTTATTGCTTGTTGTTTTTTACTGTTTTTAATTGTTTTTAATTTGCTTTAGGTTTTGTATTGTTATGTTGTGTATTGAGGCCTTGGCCTTTGTAAGCCGCATCGAAGTCCTTCGGGAGATGCTAGCAGGGTACAAATAAAGTTAATAATAATAATAATAATAATAATAATAATAATAATAATAATAATAATATACTCGAGTATAAGCCAACCCGAATATAAGCCGAGGCACCCAATTTTACCACCAAAAACTGGGAAGACGTATTGACTCAAGTATAAGCCGAGCGTGGGAAATGCAGCCATTACAGGTACATTTCAAAATAAAAATAGATAGCAATAAAATTATATTAATTGAGGCATCAGGAGGTGAATTTTTTTTAATATTTACATAAAACCGCAATTTGAGATAAGACTGCCCAGCTCTGATTAAATCATTACATATCTTCAATGTACGTATCCTTACAACAATAACAGAGTAAAATATTAACTATAATAATAATAATAATAAAGTAAAATAATGGAAATGCAATAATAACAGTAATAATAGAGTAAAATAATAAATGCAATAATAATAAAGTAAAATAATAAATGTAATAATAATCATAAATAGTGTAAAATAATAAATGTAATAATAATCATAATAATAATAGGGTAAAATACTGTAAATATAATAATAATAAAGAGAGTAAAATAATACATGAAATAAAAATAATACTGATAACAGTAAAATAATAAATAACCTTGACTCGAGTATAAGCCGAGGGGAGCTTTTTCAGCCTAAAAAGGGGCTGAAAAACTAGGCTTATACTCGAGTATATACAGTATATTATTTGTACTGCAAAAAAACATGAAAGGACAATACAGTATTTAAAATGATTTACTAGTATTTCAATGGGAATGGTGAGTCTGCTTTTGGCTGATCAGATAGTCAAATTAATTCAGATTGTTGTTGTTGTTGTTATTGTTGTTGTGTTACTTGAAGTTGTTTCGGACTTAGGCTGACCCTAAGTCTAAAGTTTAGATCAAGGGCCGAGCAAATGATCTTCGGGAGCCGCATCTGGGGGCCTTAGTTTGAGAACCCCTGTTCTAATGAGTCATATCATTTCATGATATGGCTAGTATTTGACAGCTTCACTTTAGTCATCTTCACTTCTAGTGAGAGTTCAGGCTTGATTTTCTCTAGGATTCATTAATAATTGCAATCCATGGCAGCCTATTGAAACTATGACCACATACAATGGTCTGTGTACTGATTAATGCACTACAATGAAGTCTACATGGGACTGCTCTTAAAGATGATTGCCATTAGTGCAGACGCCACAGCTAGATGACTGACTAACTAGAACAACTTATAGAAAATTCACAACACCACATTAAAAGAAGTTGCACTTGCTTCCACTGTATTTCCAGCCCAAATTCAAGGCTTGTAACAAAACCCAAAGCCATGAATGATTTGGGACTTTGAAGGAGTGCATCTTCATATATGCCTGCCAAGCCATGGTATTCCCTGTAGTCACCTACGGATGTGAGAGCTGGACCTTAGGGAAGGCTGAGCGAAGGGAGATAGATGCTTTTGAACTGTGGTGTTGGAGGAAAGTTCTGAGAGTGCCTTGGACTGCGAGAAGATCCAACCAGTCCATCCTCCAGGAAATAAAGCCCGGTTGCTCATTGGGAAGGATACTAGAGACAAAGTTGAAGTACTTTGGCCACATCATGAGGAGACAGCAAAGCCCAGAGAAGACAATTATGCTGGGGAAAGTGGAAGGCAAAAGGAAGAGGGGCCGACCAAGGGCAAGATGGATGGATGGCATCCTTGAAGTGACTGGAATGACCTTGAAGGAGCTGGGGGTGGTGACGGCCGACAGGGAGCTCTGGCGTGGGCTGGTCCATGAGGTCACGAAGAGTCGGAGATGACTGAACGAATGAACAACAACAAAAATGAGGGCATGGGAAATCCATCTCCACTATAATAAGTTTCCAACTTACAAACATTTGACTTACAAATGACTCATAGGTAAGAACAGGGGTTAGATAACAGGAAGTGAGAGAAATCTACCCTTTGGAAGGGAAATTCACTCCTGAAAGAATTATAAAAAAAAAAAAGGCTGTCTCCGCTGAAGCTTTACTACCTGTGCTGGCATGGCTGTGCCAGGAGTTTAAATTTCTTTTTCTTGCATGGCTAGTTTGCTTTAATTTATTTGGACCATGCATTTAGCAATAAGGTAGCTTCCCTCAGTTTGCAACCATAGGGCCAACGACCCATCAATCTTTGTTAAGATCTTTAGATCCGCCCCTTTTCCCGGGTTCGGAGGGAAAAAGGGACTTCCGGTTAGTTTACAGATGATCCAGATGATCTTAATAATCTTGATGGTTCATAGGGGAGAATACGTTCAGAGAAGTAAACAGGGCTGGAGTCGTTTAGGGCTTTATAGGTCAACACCAGCACTTTGAATTGTGCTCGGAAGCTAATTGGCAGCCAGTGGAGCTGGCGTAACAGCGGAGTGGTGTGCTCCCTGTACCCAGCCCCCCTTAGTAATTTGGCTGCCGCGCGTTGGACTTGCTGCAGCTTCTGGGCAGTCTTCAAAGGCAACCCCACGTAGAGAGCGTTGCAGTAGTCTAAGCGGGATGTAACCAAAGCGTGTACTACCGTGGCCAAGTCAGCTCTCCCAAGGTACGGACGCAGCTGGCGCACAAGTTTTAATTGTGCGAATGCTCCCCTGACCACCGCTGAAACCTGGGGTTCCAGGCTCAGCGATGAATCCAGGAGAACTCCCAGACTTCGTACCTGAGCTTTCAGGGGGAGTGTGACCCCGTCCAGCACAGGCTGTAACCCCGTACCCTGTTCGGTCTTACGACTGACCAGGAGTACCTCTGTCTTATCTGGATTTAGTTTCAATCTGTTGTCCCTCATCCAGTCCGAGACAGCGGCCAAGCACCGGTTCATGACCTGAACAGCCTCCTTAGTGGCAGGTGGAAAAGAGTGATAGAGTTGAACATCATCTGCGTACAGATGATATCGTACCCCAAAGCTCCGGATGATCTCTCCCAACGGCAGTGTAGACCCATATAATCCAGTTCAAAGCAGATATTGTGGATTATCTGTTAATCTGGAATATAAAGGGTCTTGGAATACTGTAAAACAGAAGGGCTGATGACAACTGAACTACAGCTCCCACTTCCTTGCCATTAAGTATGCCAGGTGGAGCTGAACTATCTAAAACCCAAAGTTTCCTACTACAAAACTGAAATGGAATGTTAGGTTGGTGGAAATGAAACTAATGCACCATTTTAGTGCCAC